TCATTCATTCATCATATTAACCCATTCGCCCCATGTGGCAAGAATACATGCCATGCCCTCTGTAATATACATTTATTTATGGCTCTACAAGTTCTTAATCACCAAATAGCCAGTTTATCAGAACTACCTATCTCACCTGTTTACCCTTTTCCTTCACTTTAGGAAAGGGTTTTTGTATCATTTCAATGTCTAAAAAATTTTAATGACAATTTTATAATCATAACATCAATAACATTAATAACAGTATCGCTAGCAATGGTACGGTGTTAATTTTCCTGCCAATTCAATGAATGGGAAAATCAGGGTCGGTAACTAGGGCCTACTGATAGACTCCTTGACAGCTGAGCACATGTGGAGCCATCTGTATGTAACAAAATTCACCAAAAACTACAGTTGTGTGTGCTAAACAGCTGCATGCTCATTTGGTGCTGGCTGCAGTTGCTGTAGAGAAATAGTGCCTCAAATGTATGCTTAACCCAATGCCAACGGGCATGATGTGTACATGTTTAACATGCCCACTGTGAGTTTACTTGTTTAATTGCTTTTACACATAGACGGCTACACTTGTAGTAAGTCACCAATGATCCAGTCATGAGTACTGCCTGTCTCTCCCGTTTATCCTTTTCTTTGATTTACAAAAATATTTTATGTTATCTTATTTTGCTATTACTAATGTTTATGACATTATAGTAATTATAATGTTTATAATAAAAAGAACACTATCAATATTCATAGCACTAGTAAAAAATACATTTTTCCCACCAATTCAAGGAAAGGTGAAATCAGGTAAGGTCTCAAGATCTACTAATTGACTCCTTTGTGGCTAAGCACTAGCAGAGCCATCTATGTGCAAACATTTCACAAAAAATGTAAAAAATGAGCACAGCATTTTCCCCATTTTTTATTCATTTTCCCCGGTGGCATTGGGTTAAAGCTTTGTTTTAGTGTTATTACCTAAACAATCATCATGCCATAGCAAAGAGCATAGAGAGTGAGGTAAAATTATTTGTCCAGTATGAAGAATTCCTATTTATGAATAGGATAATGATAACAATTCATCACTATTGCCAAGAAGTTTCTTTTTCTTCTTTAAATCAGTGACACTGGCAGCTTCAGTAGACTACTCAGATGTTTATTAATTACTAATGACAGTATTCTATTTGGCAGCCACTTCAGTCCAATCTACTTAACCCATTGCCACTGGGGATGCCATGTACATACATGCCATGCCCACTGTGTGTCGACTTGTTCGATTGTTTTTACACATAGATGGCTACACTTGTACTAAGTTGCCAATGAGCCAATTACGAGCACTGCCTGTCTCGCCCGTTCACCCTTTTCATCGATTTACGAAAATATTTAACGTTATCTTAATTTGCTGTTAAATATAACACCATCTATATTTATAACACTAGTAAGAATACATTTTTTCCTGTCAATTCAAGGAAAGGTGAAATCAGGACTAGCAGAGCCATATATGGACAGAGATATTTCACAAAAATATAAAAAATGAGTACTGCATTTACCCCATTTTTTGTTCATTTTCCCCGGCAGCAATGGGTCAATGAACATAACTATCCTGGAACTTAATAACATCAAAAGCTGGATTCAGTTCATGCAAATAAGCTCAGGCTTACCTTTAACCCATTTGCCACTGGGGAAAATGAATTTTAAAAATGGGGAAAATGCTGTGCTCATTTTTTATATTTTTTGTGAAATGTCTGCACATAGATGGCTCTGCTAGTGCTTAAACATTTGTAACGGCAAAATAAAGTAAAGTAAAATATTTTCATAAATCAAAGATAAGGGTAAATGGGAGAGACAGGCAGTACCTGTAATTGGCTCATTGATGACTTAGTACAAGTGTAGCCATCTATGTGTATTAAACAATTAAACAAGTAAACTCACAGTTGGCGTATCATGTATGTATGTGCCATGCCCATCACAAAAGGGTTAAGAAAACTCAATCCATTTTATTGGCCCAGAAGTGGAAATACGTTCCACTTTAACCCTCTCTTAAGAAAGGCCATCATAGACAGAGTAGTCAAACCGTATTCCTAGTTGTACTAACTTGCCGTGGAAATATCACATAAAAGATTGTACAACAACTTAGCAAGCAGTGTGGAATAAAGTACCACACTCAAGGCAAGCTTAAAGCAAAACTTCTGAGACATATTTACCAAACCTTGGTTCATCCATCAATAACATAGTATAGTCTTGTGTGGGGAGCACATCAGAGAACTTATTAAAGCCTCTTGATGTATTCCAACACTGCTCTACCAGTCTGTCAGAAGTGTCATATATCTTAATGAGACAAATGACCCTAATTTAAGAGCTAGAATGAATGTAAACTATAAGCTATGAAGCACATCACCCATATGAGAAATGGATCACCTTGTTTCCTTTGCACCAAAAAATATGGTTTTCTAAAACTATTTCAAGAAAGCCTAAAATTTTTGGCTGAGTTCTTTGATATAACCATTTTCTTTTGTACTGTTCC